CTGGCTGTTATCAGGTATATCTGAATGTGTACAACAGGGGTTTGAGCAAAGCTTTTACCACTGAATGATGCAGAAAGTCTCAGATCCAAAAGACTTCAGAAACTGTATGAATCAAATATGACACATTTGGTATTATAGGGTTAAAGTAAAGGATTTAAAGTGTGTTTACCTGCTGCTGCCGTCCATGCCAGCGCGCTCTATCCGGGGCTCCTCCCCCCAATCTGTCCAGTACATAAACCTGCAGGAAAAGAGAGGAAAACCAGCAAAGTATGAATAGAAAAAGATGCAACTGGATAAATCTGTATGAAGAGAAAAGCTTCTCACGGTGTGACAACTCTGGCTTTGACTGAATTAGGGTTTCTAAAAGGGTACTTTTAGGGTAGCCATTTTCTTTTACTTCCATATTTTCTTTATTTCTGGAACGTCTTATTTCTGGAAGGATGCAACTGGATAAATCTGTATGAAGAGAAAAGCTTCTCACTGTGAAACAACTCTGGTTTTTACTGAATTAGGGTTTCTAGAAGGATACTTTTGGGGTAGCCATTTTCTTTTACTTCCATATTTTCTTTATTTCTGGTAAATCTTACATCCTCATAGATCATTACACATTTAGAAAGGTTTAGAAAGATACTTCTAAACCTGTGGGATCTGGTACATACCATTAAAATTCTTTTTTTTTTTTTTTTAAAAGAAGAACTTGTTATTTTAAGACAAATATATTTATGAAAAAGCAATGTTTCTGATTCTGTCAAGTCGGTCCAAGACATGAACTTCCACCAGCCCTTTTTCTAATGAGGTGACAGTGAATCTGTAAGTTAAGATCTTTTTATGATAACAGCCATCTGATACTAAATGTAAAACCTGTTCTCATATTCCATTTATTCTATAGAAAATACAATCCGGGTTTTACAGATTACAGATTAAAATAATCCATTAATGATGCGTTAAAACTATTTTCTATTCAGGTTGTTTGTGTTTTTTTCCTTTTTAATCTATTTTACAATATTATTTACACTTTCTACTGTACACTGATGACATTATTTATAATTTTGTCTATTTTGTCTTGATGAATAAACAGGTCGGTGTCTTTTTACCAACCAGTGTGTATTATTCAAATTTACCAGATTTTTATCAGAGTAAATCCCCGTTCAACATGAGTCTGATAACTAAGTAAGTAGATACAATTATTATAAACTTTAATACATGCATACATTAATTTCATCTTCTGACCCAAACTGTCCTAGAAAAGCCTTCATATTGAGCGATGATTATTTTGATACTTCACAGTTTTTCTGCCTCGTCTTATTTTGTACTTAGAGAGATTACTATTTGGTACTTTGTTCATAGTTTTTCAGCCTTGATTCCAGCTATCCTTATTTGTTTCTTTCCTAGTCTGTCTGTCCTCATTATTGAGTGATTATTATTTATTTGTACTTTTGGACTTTCTACTCCCAGTGAGTGATTCTTTATTGCTATTAAAGTTTTATTGATTAGGATCTCCGTATCTGCGTCCTGCCTAAAGGAACCAGCCTGAAACAGCCCCTTGGTTCTGGTTTTACAGTTCAATTCAATTCAATTCAATTTTATTTATATAGCTCCACATCACAACAACAGTTGTCTCACAGCTTTCCAAACAGAGCAGGTCAGACCCTACTCTGAAGTTAACTACAGAAACCCAACAATTCCCAATTACAGGGGTCTTATTTACCTCTGAGAGGGGTTGAGGGCAATAGCCCGAGGCTGGTCCAGGTCCATCCAAAACAAGACCTTCCTGGAGGTGCCATCCAGGTTGGCCACTTCGATCCGATTGGTCTCCGAGTCCGTCCAGTAGAGCTTCTTCCCCAACCAATCACAGGCCAGTCCGTCGGGACTGTCCAGTCCAGACACCACCACCGTCTGACCGGTTCCCAGGGCCTCTTTCAGGGCTAAAAACACAGAAAAAACACGGAAAATACTGTGAAACGGACGGTGATTCCTCCCCGTGTGGGTGAACTCTAAACCAGGGGTGCTCAATACGTACAGTGGGGGAAATAAGTATTTGACCCCTTGCTGATTTTGCAGGTTTGCCCACTTACAAAAAAATGCTTATTTTTCCTCATCAAATGGTTATCAATTTTTATGAATTCATGTGATGTGATTTTCTGGAATTTTCTTTGGGATTCTGTCTTTCACTGTTAGAATGTAGATATGATTAAAGTTATAGATCGTTGCATTCTTTGTAAGTGGGCAAACCTGCAAAATCAGCAAGGGGTCAAATACTTATTTCCCCTACTGTAAATCGCGATCTACCAGTCGATCTCCAAGGTGCTATCCGTACAATTAGCTCACTGTGCGTTAGTTAGCCCCTGAGCGCAGCTAAGCTAACAAGCTAGTCGTTAGTTACGTCCTCATTTTTCGTTCGTTTTTTTCCTCTTAAACGTAAGATAGGTTATGAAAATGAGTGGGGGAGCTGGACCAAGTAAGAAGAAAAAAACGAATCGCTTTCATACGGAATGGGAGGAGGAGTCTTTTTTCTCGATGACATTTTCAAAGTGCGTTTGTCTCGTCTGCTAATCTACCGTCGCAATATGTGGTTATACATCCTTAGGTGGTTATACACCAATATGTGGATATACATCCATATGTGGTTATACATCAACATAAGTTGTAAGAATCCTCAATATGTTTCTCAATAAATATAATGGGTAGATCATTTTGACTTGGTCATTTCAAAAGTACAGTGGGGGAAATAAGTATTTGACCCCTTGCTGATTTTGCAGGTTTGCCCACTTACAAAGAATGCAACGATCTATAACTTTAATCATATTTACATTCTAACAGTGAAAGACAGAATCCCAAAGAAAATTCCATAAAATCACATCATATGAATTTATAAAAATTGTTAACAATCTGATGAGGAAAAATAAGCATTCTTTGTAAGTGGGCAAACCTGCAAAATCAGCAAGGGGTCAAATACTTATTTCCCCCACTGTACATCAATATGTGGTTAAACATCAATATGTGGTTAGACATGAATATGTTATAGAATCCTCAATATATTTCTCAATAAATACAGTGGGGGAAATAAGTATTTGACCCCTTGCTGATTTTGCAGGTTTGCCCACTTACAAAGAATGCTTATTTTTCCTCATCAGATGGTTATCAATTTTTATAAATTCATATTTGATGTGATTTTCTGGAATTTTCTTTGAGATTCCGTCTTTCACTGTTAGAATGTACATATGATTAAAGTTATAGATCGTTGAATTCTTTGTAAGTGGGCAAACCTGCAAAATCAGCAAGGGCTCAAATACTTATTT